GCCTTCTTAGCCAAACAGGAGGAACTGGGGTTAGATTCCTGGGGTCCTGTTCTGGCTCCGGCACTAACTTGCTGTGTGACTCTGGTCAGGTGACTCCCCCTCTCTGAGTTGTTTCCCTGTCTGTAGCATAAGGGGACTGATAGTAGAGGCTTTGCCTTCCAGTGTCAGCTAGGCACTGTGAGAGCTGGACACCTGGTCATTCATTCACTCCACTTGCATCGATTAAGGTCCTACTATGTACCAGGATGGTGAGGGTGTGATCTGTGACATACCACTGACAGCCTCTTTCAGGTCAGCCAAGACGCGGGGGTCACTGTCCATCTTGTCCCCAACTCATCCTTCTGGAGCCTGTTTCTCCTCCCTCTGTCCAGCCCTGACCCCAGGGGGAGGGGGTCTGGATTGAGCCTGTGGATGGAAAATGTGATTAATAATCAAAAAAACATCCAAGAGGAAGAGACCAGGAAAACAACTTGGGGAAAGCTCCTCGCCCAGGGGAGGGGGGCCATGTCCTGGGCCTTGGGACAGCTCCGGCTGCCCTCCCGCCGCCCCTTCTGGGAAGCTGCCACAGGAGTGGGTAATTTTAGCCAAAAGTGAAAAAAAAAAAAAAAGGCCATTCTAATTATTTATGAAAAAAGATGCTCCCCCATGTAAATTATGCTCCCCCTGGAGGCTTCCCCCTACTGTTACTCCACTGCTAGTGGTCCCTCTCCTTGGTCAGCCTGGGGGGCCCTAGAGACACTGGGTTGGGGGCAGAGGAGGAATTTCAACATGAAATGTTTTGTTCATTAGCAGAGAACATAGGGGGAAATTCCCTTTCTGCCTGGGCCTGGGCAGTCCAGGCAAATACTTAAAAGCTATTTTTGAAAAATAGAGTCTGGGCTGCAGAGTACGGTGGAGGTTATATTGGGGCGGGGGGGAGATACAGACGTTTTCTTCCCTCCTCTTAGACTCCGGACTTTTCAGGGGTTTCCTGAGCCTTAATCCTTCCTCCTTTCAGGGATTTCATTCTCAATGTCTCAGGTTGCCTTCAAACTTCCTTCTTAGCCAAACAGGAGGAACTGGGGTTAGATTGGCGTTAGAACTTCCAACTAAGGAGGAAGGAAGGATATCAAAGAGAGGGAGGGGAGGCTTTGGACCTATCCAAATAATTTAGAATACGTTGGGATCAGTAGGCAGCAACTCTGAGAGGGAACTGGAGCAGGACTGAAAGCACCCTTTCTATCAGAGTGGCTTTGGCGGGCCCCAGTGAGGAGGGAAGTGGAGGCCCCTGAATACCTAGGTTTCCCCATTAGAGTTGCAGCTCTCTCCTACTCTCTACCTTTAGGGAATCTTTGCCCTTTTCTGGTGCCAAGGTTGGAAGGGTCAGGGCACACTTAGGAAGTGGCCCAAATAACAGGATTCCAGAAGGGGCTCTGCAGCACGGGAGTGTTGTAAGTGGGCCCTAGGCGCTGTCCCAGAATAGGGGTGAGTCCTCCCTGGGGGGCCGGGGTGGACCCTGAGTGTGTGTGTGTGGGTGCTCAAGGGGCCCGCCTCCCTGGCTCGGCCTGGGGCTGTGTAGGGATCGGGTTTCTCGGCGCCTGGAGCCTCCGCGAGGCCGAGCTGTTCCGGGTCCCTGGCCAAGCCGCCCCGGGCGCTGGCACTGCGAGAGGAAGCAGGGGGGGGGGGGGCGGTGAGGGGGAGCGAGAGGGGGGAGCTATGAGGGCTTTTACGTAACTCCCTCCCAGAGCCCGCCCTTACCGCCAAACCCCAGTGTGGGACTTTGTGTGATTGAGAGTGTGCATGCCTATGTGCGTGTGCCTATGTGACACTCGGTGTGACTGAGTGCATGGCTGTGTGTGTGGCCGGATCTGTGTGCGGGGATGGCGTACAAGTGTGTGATTCGGAGAGTCCTGCCCTTCTAGGACTTCTAGTTGTCAGTTGCCAAGCAGAGGACCCTGACTCCCAGTGGACTATAGTGAGGTTGAATAGAAACATTTGACTCTTTGAGACTTGAGTATGCGACTTGACATGATGGTGTGTTTGGCATTTGTAGGCAAGACAGAGAGCCTCTTCTTATTTGTAACTTTGGGTAGCCAGGTATGTGACCCACAGTGGAGCTTCCTGATGGTATGGCAGGTTAGAAGAGCATCATTTCCCAAAGGAGCACTAGAAAAGGTAGACCACAGGAGGTGGGAATGGAAACTCTCCTTCCCTGAGGGCACATCAGTAGGAATTGGGGGGAAGGGTCCTTGCTACCCAGTCTTGGGATGGCAAAGTTGATTCCTGGGAGTGAGGGGCACAGTGTGGTCCCAGGTTAGGTCATGTGCTATGATGGAGGAGGGTGGAGCCAAAATTCCTGCCATAGAGCCCTCTTTCATGGGCCTGTAAAACTCCAAGGACTCAAAGTAAGGAGAACTTCCCTCAGTTTTCCAAGGCCTTCCAGGGTTATCAAACCTGGAATCTACATTACTTGCAGGGCAGGAGGGCTCCAAACAAGGAGTTGTATCCTGCTCCCCCTCAAGGGAGAGGCAGATCTTGAAGAGGGGTGAAGATGGGGTAGAACTGGGGGGGAGGGTGTCAGTGAAATGGGGTTATCTTAAGGATAAGTGCACCACGACAGAGAAGGGGGCTGGTGCAGAGCTAGGGCAGCTGGGGATCGCAGTGCCTAATAAAGCTGGTGCGGGGGGCACCTGGCTGGCTCAGTCCCTAGAGCATTCGACTCTTGATCTCAGGGTTGTGAGTTCCAGCCCCACCCTGGATGTAGAGATTACTTTTAAAAAAATTAAATCTTTAAAATAATAACAAAATTAAAATTAAATTAAATTAATACAATTAAATTTAAAAAAGCTTGAGAGGAGACACGGCCAGATCCCGCAAGGGCTTTTAAGCCCCAGTAAGAAGCCTGGCTTTACCCCCACGGCCCTGGGGTATGGGAGGGTTCAACAGCGGAGGTTTAAGAAGCTCAGAGGCTCCTGGGCAGATAGGGCATTGACAGCGGCAGGAGCGGAAACCCACGAGCAATCTGTTGCCCCAGCCCGGGTGGAGGCAGAATCGGTTCGGAGGGCGGCAGAAGAAGGGAAGGGGCCGCACTCAGAGGTTGTTCCGTAGGTGGGCGCTGCCTCTGAGACAGATCCGCAGCCTTAGTGGGTACGCACCTCCCGCACTGCCCGCCAGATGTCGCTGCGGCACCGGGGAAGCGGGAGCGGTCGCTGGGTGCTGCGCCTGGAAGTTGCTGAGGATCAGCGGATGCCGGGATCCGGTCCGACGTGTGCCTCTTGTCCTCGCTAATCCTGTGACATACGGACATGTCCGGCTCCCGGATCCCAGTTGCCCCGCGCAGACCCTGCCCTGGCACCCGCGGACTTCGGCACTGCTGACTGCAGCCCCCGAGTTCCCAGGTGGAGAGGGGACGTTGTGCGGGGTGGAACTCCCCACTGCTCTCAACCTGGCAGAAGGAGGCAGTGTCCGGGACACTGGAGGATCCGGAGGTCGAGTCGGTCCACCAATGACCCCGCCGATCTCGACGCCCGTCGGCCCCTCGAGGGGGAGCGGGGCCTCCTGAGCACCCAACCTCATCCAGGCCTAGTTTCCGCTCCGGATGAGGTGCAATTCCTGACCCCACCCTCCCTCCCCCAGTTTCGTCGCACCGGCCCCACTCGTTCCCCGTGCCCACCATCTCGTCCTCGTCCGTGGCTCGGGAGTCTGGAGGCTGCGGGCCCGAGAGGCCAGACAGGGGACGCTTACTGTGGGTGGGGATGGACGGGATCTCAGCTGGGCGCCACTATTTCGCCGTGTGTCTTTAAGCCCCAGCCGGCCCTCTCTGAGCCTCAGCCCCGGCTGACCCCTACCGGTTGCACTGAGGGGATTCTGAGGCCTCGGAAGTGAAAGTGAAAAGCCCCGGCAGTGGCGGGAAGAAGGTTTTTCCTCTGCAACGGGAGTCCCTGAGGCACTTCTTGGGAAAGGGCCCGGGCGCTCTGGGCAGCCTGCTGGGGAAGGGTGTGAGGAAACTGCAAGATAGTTCCTACCCCTCTCCCCGCCCCCAGCCCTGGGCCAGCTCCCAGGAGGGGCAAGGCGCAGGGATTATGGGTCAAAGGTCAGGTGAAAAATCCATGGGGTGGAGATGGGGGTGGGCCACTCGTTCTCCGCTTCTGGCATTCAACCTTTCTGTTGCGCTTTCGCGTGGCTTCAGAAATTGGTCGGGTTGTCTAACCTTAATACCCCATGCCGTAGCCAGACTGGAGGCCCGGGGGCAAGTGAAGTGAGCACACTGGCCCCTCAGAGGCCCAGGCTGCGAAAGGAAAACTAGAGGGGTGAACCTCCAGCGCCAAGCTGGCGCGTGCCCCGCATTCTAGAACTGCCCATCCAGGCATAGAAGGTGTACCCTCCCTACCCTGTTCTTCCCAGCGGAGGTTTCTCCCCAGGCTATGGGTCCCGCGGGGCGAGGAAGGCGAGGGTAGTTGTGGTGGTGTCACCGGAGACTTGGTGGGAGACGAGGGCCCGCGCTCCCAGCCTGGTCATCCTGGTCCGGGGAGCGTAAAGCCCCCTTCCCTCCGCGCGGGGAGTGTTTGTGCTTGTGACTGGGAGGGTAGTCATTGCTGGGAGCAGCAGGAATAGGGGAGGGGCGGAGACGGCTGGCCTCCAGTAACCAAAATGGGGCCCGGGGGCTCTGGCTCGTGCTCCTCCCACAGAGATGCCGGCGGCAGGACCCTCAGAATTGGCCCAGGGTGTGCCAGGGTGTCGGTACGAGGCAGTGAGGGCCTGAACAAGCGGGAGCGTTCAGCAGCAGAGACCTGGCCAAGGCTGAGGGAGAGAGGGAGTGTGAATTAGCGACCTGGAGGGGGAGGGGGGGCGCGCCCAGCGTCCCTAGGGGATCCGGCAGAGTGGGTGCGGGTACGTGTGCACGCGCGTTTTTGAGACCCGCAGTCGGGCCTGCGCGTGAAGCACAGGGGCCACTGCCGTCTGGAGGGCGTTCCCGGGAAAGGGCGAATGTGAGCGGGCCACGCGTGCCAGTGCGGGCGAGTGTGCCAGCGGGGGGAGGGCGCGTGCGAGCGCGAGTCGAGTGGGAGTGGGGGTTCACAAGCCTGAGCAGAGTGAGTGTGTCCGCGCGTGCCAGGCGCGGGAGCGTGCCAAGACGGGGGCGCGCGGGGGCAGTGGCCGGGAGGGGGTCGTGGCGCGCGGCCGCGGAGGCGCGGGGAGACAAGGCGGGAGGGGGAGGGGAGCGAGGGCGCGCGCGGCCGAGCGGGCGCCCGCGGTCACATGGGCGAGGGAAGGAGGGAGGGAGCGCGCGAGGGAGGGAGGAGGATGGGGGGGTTAAAGCCGCCGAGCGCCGAGGAGCCGGTGCAGAGCGGGCGGCGGCGGCGGCGGCGGCGGCAGCGGAGGCGGTGGCTCTACCCGGCGCGGCGCGGGGCTCGGCAGCGGGATCCGGCAGCGGTGCTAGCTCCGCGATCCGTGCCTCGCTCCCTGCCCGGGTGGTCGAAGGGCGAGGCGCGGAGTCCTGGTGGCCCGAGGGCGCGGTGAGTACCCCGCGGCGGACCGCGCGCGGCCGGACCCTCAGACCCTCAGGCTGACCGACAGACCCGCGGCCCTCGTGCGCGCGGGAAGAGGGAGAGGACACGCGTGGGCCCGCGACCCGGGGGGAGAGGGACACGGGAAAGTTCAAGGGAAACTTTGCCCGCAAACTCTGGGGCGGGGGCGCGTGAGAAGCCGCCCCCCGCGTCCCGGCGCGCCGGGGGTTGGGCGTGGTGATGGTGGGGGCGGACAATCGGCTGGGGGGAGGTGGCCAGGGCGGATTGTCCTAGCCTCCCTCTTCTCTCTCACCCCACCGCAGCGCGCGCGGGGTCTGGGAGAATTCCGGAACTGGGGGGTCGTGGTGACCCCCGCGCGCCCGGAGGCGGCTTCCTTCTCCCGCAGAAATCTAGATTTCAAAGAGCCCAGGGGTGTGAACGGACGGTTGCGCGTTTGCCAGCGTATGTGTGTCCGTGTGAATCCGCGCGCGCGTGTGTGTGTGTGTTGGTGTGATCCTGCCTGTGTGTGGTTTCCTCGTGAGTCCGCCTGTATGTATCTCCATGTAGTGGGTTTCCTTCAGGGTCTCTTTGTAAGACCTCCTGTGTTGTGTGTTTGTGTGAGTCCGCTTGAGGTGTATCCCCATTTCTTTGTGAGCCTGCCCGTGTGTGTCTCCCCCAGTGCGGCTGGGTGAGCTCTGTGTGAGCCGGCTTGGGTGCCCCTGTGTTGCTCCGAGTAGTGTATCTCCCCATGCGTGGGGGCTGGGCCGCGGGGAGGTCACCAGACGGACAGCTCTCCTCCTCGGTTTCTCTCCTCTCCCGAGCCTCTCCTCCTGCGTCTAGCTCTCGCACTCGCTCGCTCCCTTGGCCCCCACCCCCCTTCAGTAGCTTCAGGCGGGCGGGACTATTTCACGCCTTGTTGAAAATTCAGGATTTTCTTTCCCTTTCGGTCTAGTCTCTCTTTGAGAAGCGTCTATGTGTGTCTGTGTGGCTGGCAGCTTGTCTGCAAAACTAGGTGTGTATCTGCATGCCACTGTGGAAGTGCGTCTGTAACACTAGTTGTTTTGCTTATAACACTTGGTATATTTGTGTGTGTGTCACTGAAGGTGTTCATGTGGCTGTAATCACAGAGGTGGGACTTTGAAATGCTGAGTGTGTTTGTGCATTTACAATTGCTGTATGTCCAGGGGGTCTGAAACTATTTTTGTGTGTCTAACTCTGGGTGTGATGGTGTATCATTGCCTATGTGGGGATGGGACTTGAACAGTTGAATATTCCTATGGCTGCAGGGGTACCAGGGCTTGAGGGGCCTATGTGTCTCAGTAAACTATGCCTCTGTCTCCACTGTCAAAACCCACACAAATCCTCTGAACTGGTTCTTGGGGTTCCTGGTCAGGATTGTGACATGGAGCTAAGGTTCACACTCCATCAGAACTAATAACTCCCAACAGATCCTGACCTTATGCAAAGACTAGGAGTTTAAAGTTCACATTCAAGACTTCTTGGGAGTTCAGAATTTATACCCAAATTCACACTGGGACACTTAAATTCATATGGATTCACACTGAATTACCAGAACAATGGGACTCACACTCAGATTCACACTTAAATTCTGGGGCTCATATCCAGCTCTACGCTTCAGCCCTAGGGTTTATACTCAGACTCACATTGGGACTCCAGGCTTACACTTAGATTCACATTTCTGTCCTGAGGCTCATAGATTTACATAGAGACCTAGAGCCCATGCTCAGAATCTCACAGGGGTCCTAGAGTTCACACTTGGTCCTCATTTCAGATTCACACTTACATTCTGGGGCTCATACTCAGAGTCACATTAAGACTAAGGGCTCACACAGACTCCCATGGGGAACCTGGGGCTCACATTTGAACCCAAGGACTCACATAGGACACTGGAGTTCATGAACTCGTGCTTCCATCTTAGAGCTCACTCTCAGATTCACACTAGCAAGATTCTCACTTCCATCCTGGGATCACTTAGGGACCCAGTGTTCACACTCAGACTGGTATCCCTGGTGATTACATTAATCTCACTTCCGTCCTGGGGTTTAGACTCACACTAAGGCTCTAGTGCTCACACTCAGACTTATGCTTCCATCTTAAGACTTATATTCTCCGTGGGGGCCCTGGGGTTCACACTTGGAATCACACCCAGTTATGGTTCTATCCCGGGGCTCACATTCAAACCTAAAACTAGGATTGTGGTGTTTAGCCTCCCAGTGAAACTTGGAACTCATAGTCAAATACACCTGTATTTTCTTTGGTTTATGGTGTGTATCAGGGCAGTTGGGTAAGGAACAGAGACTGCAACAAGACATGTCCCCTCCAAAGGTGGGGAGGAGAGGGGATACATGTTTGGGCATGTCACTCACTTGGGCTGTGGGCTGATGAAGAGGGTGGCGGGAAACCCTGACCCAGTTAGGGTTAAACCTTTCTCCCTTTTTTTTCCACAAGGAGACTAGGCTATATTGGCAGGAAGGTCTGAGTGGCTTTTTGGTACAGGAGTGATAGGTACTCTTAGCGTCTCCCATGTGCCATGTACATGCACATCCCCCTTAATAGTTTTGGGTACCCCTTCTGTGGTAAGAGAATCAGGTGTAGGGGAGAAAAGACTCATGTCCTCCCAAGACATTTCTCTCACTGCAGTCATCCTTAGTATGGGAGGAGTGTGAAGGTTGACTTGGTAAGAGGGTAGACCTCTGGCTCCTTTGAACATTTCAGAGTGTTGGATCTCAGATTCGAAGGGAGATGGTAGCCCAGATCTGTGGTGAGAAGGTAGCTGAAGGAGGAGACTGGACTGAAACCCACCCTCCCCTCCTCTGCCCTGGCTGGAGAGGAGGGATAGGGGCCAAGTTATGTTATATCTTACAATGTCTCCTGGAATGTCTATTGAGCACTTACCCTGTCTCTCTGTATGACCCGTGTTCTCTGCGTCCTCCTAGAGGAGCAGTAGCCCTGTGGGGGAGAGTTGGGCTAGGTTGTCACCTATCCTAGGACTCCAGCTGCCTTAGAGACGCGGCTGGGCTTACATGCCCTCCCATTATGGAGGCCAGCAAGTCGGGGCTGCCTGAGGTGCACAGTCACCCCATGGGCACTCCGAGGGCAGTAGGGATCTGGCCCTTTGCCTCAGATGGCTGGGCTGTATCAGCTCCCCGTCCCTGAAGGGGACACATGCTCCCCAGCCCTCCTATGGGGGTGGGGGGCTTAAAGGCAAGGCGTCCTGCTCTCTGCCCCCCCATGGTGAGTTGAAGTGTAAATGAATCAAAACATATGGAGCAGATTTTCTTTGAAATGCAGATGGGTTGGGGGGGACCATGTGTGCCTGGTTTGGTGGGAGAGGGGTCCCAGAGAGCAAGGAGGCTGAGAAGAGAGCTGACCCCTCCTCCAGACACACCATGGGGTGAAGGAAGTTGGGGAGACCTCAGCTGTGTAAACTGTGGCCCGGGGTGACCACATCCACCCAGGCTCCAGCTTCCTGTGGGGAGGGGCTGGGGAAGCAAGTGGTCCCTGTGGGCTGAGAGTGCTGAGGTCATCACTGCCCCTTACCCTGTCTATATAGGCAGAGAGCCCCCAAAGCACAGAGCCATGCTGGGTTGGGGGTCACCAGAGCCAGGAGCTCTGGGGGCCAAGGAGTGGAAGGGGGAGCTGGGGCAGATGTGGGGAGGTTAGACCCTGCTGCTTACAGAACCAGCTCCCAGAAGCTGGGGCTACAGCTGTAGTGGAAGGAACTGAAGCTAGACTGTGATGGTGACTTCTGGTCAGTGCAAGGGCTCCTGGAGTTTAGGAAGGGACTGAAGAGTCCTCAGTCCTGCAGGAGTTTTTTCAGACCTGGGATGTTTGGTATGCCCCACTGTACACTACTTGTACTTTCCCTTCACAAAACTCAGCAAGGTTACATAGTAATTGCCTGTGAGCTCTGTGGGACCTGGGGACTGGGTCTGCTTTGCTCACTACTGTACCCTGCTCCAGCACAGACCTGGTACACAGTAGGAGGATGGTGTTGAGTAAACAATGCATCTTTTTCTCTCCCATCCGACTGAGTGCTTCATGTGGGCAGGACCATATTCTCAACTCCCAGCACAGTACCTGACAGGGATTAGGTGCTCAATAAATGTTGAGGAATGATAAATAAATAAAATCTTTTTAAAAGGGGGGGCACCTGGGTGGCTCAGTAGGTTAAGCGTCTGCCTTCATCTCAGGTCATGATCCCAGAGTCCTGCTTCTCCCTCTCCTCCTGCCCCTCCCCTTCTCCCCTCCCCCCCCCCCCCGCCCCTGCTCATGTTTGTGCTATCTCAAACAAATAAATAAAATCTTTAAAAAAATGTTGAGGAATGAATCCTTGAGTGGGAAAGACCACGGGGAGAGGGGACTCTCTGGCGTTTGTGGCTTTGGATCCAACACCCTCTGTTGTATTGCCCCTATTTGGCTCAAAGAACCCCTGAATGATTTGCAGTCTAGACTAAACGAAGGACTTGCCTGCAGTCAGGGAAGGAGTGCAGAGGATAGGCGGCTTCTTCCTTGGAAAAGTCAGGACTAAGGGAGACTGGGGCAGGGTGATGACCCTTATTCTGTGGCAGAGGTTGGAGGTTACTTCTGTCCTCTCCCCAGCTTCAGGATTTTTCAGAAGGTGGAAAAGTCCTTTTCTTATGTGATTGTGAGTATGTCTCTTCTTCTCTCTAGGTCAGGGTTTCTTAGACTCTAGCCAAGGCAATGGACCCCACCTCTGAGCCGCTAAGTCTAGGCTCTGAGGTTGTCTAGCTGCTGTGGGCACCACAAATTGTATTGGTTATTAATGTCTGTCTGAGAACAGGGGGTTTGGATCCTAAAAATATCCTATCCAGCCAGAGTCTAGGAGTTGCTGGTGTGTGCTGTTATAGCAGTAGCTGCATCTTGGTAAGACAGACACAGAGCTGGGAGACACTGGAGAGTATGGGGAAACTGAGGTAGCATGGGCAGGAGATGCACAGGAGACAGAGTGTCTATTTTATATGGAACAGAGATTTATAAAATTAGTGGTGCCCATTCTTCAAATTATGGCAACACTTAGGGTAATCTGTTATTTTATGCTGCAGAGAATTTCCTTCTTGGAGAGTCTGAAGATACATCTGATATCAGACTACATAAAAATTAAGTAGTCAGTAGTAACCATTTCAAGTCCAGCTTTAGGACGTTCCAAAATAAGTGTGTGGCAAAGAAAAAAATCTTCTCTAAGTAGACTTTTCTGAGCCACTGCCCCCAGCCTTACCTCCTGGAGCCCTTCCCCACAGCCTGAGTCCCAGTGGGGTGCTTGCACACCCCCTTTTATAGGACCCCACCTCACTTCTGACCCTTAGGCCTCTGTGTATCCCCACTTCCCAGGAGATGGATGCTGCACAGTGGTCCCAAAAAGGTAAGAAGATCCCAGCCTTTGTGGGCAGATGCCGTGTGACCTTGGCTTGTAAGCTGACCTTTCTGGGCCCCTCTGTGAAATCGCGGGATGGGGGGGCTGGGCCCCGGCCCAGGCCCAGAGAGAAGGCGGTTTTGGCACTCGTCCAGGTCCCTGACGTCAATGACTCTCCAAATAATGGAATCAATATTGGGGGGGGGGGCAAGCGTGAACCAGGCCCCAGCGATTAGAAACAGATCAGCACAAACCCGCAGCTGATTCTGATAGAGCTGCCTTGGAGAGCTAGGGTGGGAGGCCTGGAAGGAGGTGGACCCGGTGGGGGGCTCAGGAATGGAGGTGGAGCCACGGAGTGTCCAAAACATGAGGGTGCGCAAGTAGGCAGAGATTCTGGGGCTGCCTGGGTTGGAATGATGGGGTGGGGGCCGCTGAACTAGTCCCTTTCTCCTTTGAGCCTGTGGGGTTCCAAGGCTAGGGGAAGTTTGTGAATGAAGACTTTTTTCAGCCAGTGAGTGATAAATAGTGGGCAAGGGGAGTTCAGAGTTCATGTCTCTGCTTCCCAGACTTGGGCTCCTAGGCCATGTTAGGGGTCACAGGTTATACCCAGTGTAGGGGAGAGTGCTGAGTGAGACCTGAGGGAGATGATTTTTGCTTGGAGGCAGCGGGCATTAATCCCAATTAGAGAGATGGGTATTCCCTCTCAGTTGGGAGTCAGGCCTCCTCCATCAGCCTATGTCCCCTCAGCCTCCTGGAAGGCAGCAGGTGAGGATGGAGAGGGCCATGGGGTCCATAGGGGGCTGGCCTGGCGGCAGCTGACAAAAAACAAGAAAAAGGGCTGGGGGAGCAGCTGTAATTATGGGGCATTTATTATTAATCAGATGAAATTGCTGGAAGCAGCTGGTGTAATGTGCGTAGCGATACAGACTCTGCATGCCCCCCCAACATGTGTGCACGCAGACACACACAAGCCACACACAGCCTGAGCCTTGTTTGCTTACAGTTTTTTTCTTGTGAAGGTTGGAGGGCTCTTTTTTTTTTTTTAAGTAATTTCTATACCCAACATGGGGCTCGAACTCATGACCCCAGGATCAAGAGACACATGCTGTACTGACTGAGCCAGCCAAGAGGCCCTGGAGGGCTCTTTATGTGTGTCTGTGTCTGTTTATGTTAGTGTGTATCTGTGTTTTTTCATGTCAGCTTGTACCCTCCTCTCCCTCGATTGTCTCCTTTCCCAACTATTCTTTGGCCTGATGTGTGTCTGTCTGTCTCTAACGTCCTCTCTGTCTTCTTCTCTTGGGGCCTGTCTCTTGGTGTGTCTGTATCTATTACCATCAGCCAGCCTGTCTCTAATACCTTATTTTAGTTTGTGGCCATCTCTCTGGTTGCATCTTTGGGCAGAGTTGGATGACATGGAGACCCTTTCTCATGGGTATGTGTTTAGGCACCTGATCATGCCTTTGTCAGCCACATCTAGGACCTGTTTTTTTTAGGGGGGGGAGAGGAAGTTGGACACTAAGGATCTCTTGGGGTCTTGCAGAAGGCGAGGGCTCTGTTAAGTGACTGGAGCCCAGAGAAGCAATAGTGGTTTTCAAGACAGCCCTGAGTACAGCGCTAGCTCCTTTATCACCTGCCAGTTGTGACTTTGGACAAGGTGCTTTTGTTCTCTGAGCCTCAGTTTCCCCATCTGTAAAATGGAAGCAGGATTACCTGCAACGGTTGTTTTGATATTCAGTATAAAATGTATGTTAAGTACTTATCATGATACCTGACTCATTAAGAACCCTGAACAAGGGTTAGCTGATACTGTTATTACTGGGAAAGGCAGTGTGCAGGCAAGAGAACGGACTGCAGAGGTAAGTTAGTATATGGCACAAAGGCTTTGGAGCTAGACTTGGACTCAAATCTATGCTCTGGAACTGATCAGCTATATGGTCCTAGGCAAGTTACTTAACCTCCCTGAATCTCAGTTTTTTCAGCTGTCAAATGGGGAATAATAATAGAACCTACCTCATGGAGAAATCATGAGGATTAAATGAGATAATGCATATAAAGTGCTTGACACAGTTCCTGGCACATAACAGATGCTCAATAAATCATAGTGGTGACGAAGCAGAGGAAGAAGATAGTATGATGGTGGGTGTTTTTGCCCTGCCAGTGGCCACATGAGAAAGTATGTGATGTTCAGGCACCTGTGCCTGTGAATTGGTTGTGTGGGAACTTTGGATTGTCTGTGGGTGTGTATGAGTGTGTATGCATGTGTGGTATTAGGCCACTTCTGGCCTCCCTTTGTCACTGTGGTTTAGATCCTGAAGTCAGCAAGGGGTGCCAGAGGGAGTCTGGACTATTTCCAACTTTCCCTCTTGTAGACACTTAAATGCTGCTGCCTCAGTCTCCCCTTCTCTCGGTGAGGTTGTATGGAATGAGTTCTTTGTTGGACTTAGGCCTGTGGCTCCTCTGTGACCTCTGATTTGTGCCCTTTGCCCTTCCAGAATCCAGCCTTGTCACATCATCCTGCCCCCTTGGTTTTGGAAGTCTTGGAAAAAGTTGGTCTGGAGGAGGAGGACATTGATGTGCTCGGTGTAGGGCCAGTGGTGAAGAGGTATGTGCTGGGGACCCAAATGAGGCAGGCCAGTCTCCAGGCATCAGGCTGGTGCGGTGGAACTACAGGTTTGAGGAGTGAGTGAAGGAGGGACTGAGATCCCTTCCACCTCTTCCTCTGTTCTTCCTCTGAGGCTTTTCATGCCCCTCTGATAGTTTCATAAAGGGGAAGGGACTTACCTGCAGTCACACAGGCAAGGGCAAAGCCAGGTCTGCCCAGAGAAGGCTGCATCCTGGATGTGGGAGTATGTTCTGTCTTTGTCTGGCTCCCTTTCTGCCCCCAAAGCATCTCTCTGGCTTGATTGGGGGAGCAGCTGGACTTAGAATAGATGGGATGGGGGTCGGAAATTCCAAAATCTTCTGGGGCCAGCCATGGGGCTGGGCTTGACTCTCTCTGCCTTTCATTAAGGCCAGCCAAGGCCCCCGATTGGCAGCCCCGGGTGGGGGCATCCAAGGAATCGAGGGAATCGAGGCGCTGGAGCGGAACGGAAGAGCCTATTGTCCGAAACCCGCCAGAGGCCCACAAAGGCCAGCCGGCTTTTCATCTCGGCTCCCAAACAGACTGGCCATTTTCCCGGCCCAGGAATGGGGGACTGACTGACCCTTCAGAACCAGGACTGGGGTGTTGTTGGGTGGGGTGGGGTATCCCAGGCTGACACATGGCCATAAGAGGTACTTAAAATGGAACTGGGGCTCTGAAGAGGAGGAAGGGAGGCCCCAGAGGGCTATAGAGAGTTAAGCTTCCAATCTCACTGTTCCCAGAGGACCCAAGGACATAGGGTAGGGTATCTGATAGAAGTTCTGATTTACACAACAATAGATAATAAATATTTATAGGGGGCACACCTGGGAGGAGTCTCATGGCTTGTTAGTAAAGTGAGCTTCTGCTGTGAGGGCACACAATCCTCCCCCACAATTGGGAACACCTTATCTCCCAAGAAGGGGGCTGGAGAAGAGGAGGCTAGTAGTGGTCAGGCAAGACACTGGGCTCCCTGCAGCAGGAGGGACTGAGGCCAGACAGCAGGAAGGTCTTCCTGCCAATGAACAGTAGCTCTGATGCCCTGACCATATCTCTGGGGATCCCAGAGGATCACAGCGAGCAGGGGAGGTAGAGAACACCCCTGGGGGTTAAGGGTTAGGCCGCTTCTGGGGGCCCCCCCCCCCCCACCAAGAGAAGGCTGAGAGGACTTGGCAGTTCTGTCCACCCTCCCTCTGCAGCACCTCCAGCACCACTTTAAAAACAGCTTTTTAATTTAACAAAGTGGATGAAAAACTGTTTTTGGAAATAAAAGATATCTGCTGTCTCCCAGGCTAGCACTCAGCCCTTGCAGAGAGCCTCTCTCCCGGTTTCTCCCCGCTGCTGGTGGCTCCTTTCTCTCTCTTTTTGTTTCTGCTCCGTGGCCCCCCAGCTTCCCCTTGGCCTCCCATTACCACCTCCCATACCAGCCTCCCTGGGAGTCTCATCCTTAGTCTCTCTGCATCTTCTTTTGTCTCTCCTCTCCTGGTCTCTCTTCCGGGGCTTGTCTCTCTCCTGAATCGTCTCTGTCTCCCTTCCCCGCCCCCTTCTCCCCCAACCCCTGCTCTAAATGGGTCTATTTAAAACACCCGACGCTGCCAAGTCAGAAAAGCGTCTCCTGATAAAGCGCATTAGGCCGAGGGAGGGAGGGAGAGGGAGGAGGAGGGAGGAGGGAGCAGCAGGCAGATGGATTGATCCAAGCCCGTAACCCCATTAATCAGGCATCGTGGATCCCCCTCCCTCCTCCAGCTTCAGCCCCTTCTGAACTAAAAACCCCTTAAATATTTATCACCCCTCCCCCATGGGGTGAGGGGAGGGGTGTGTGGTCCTTGGTGTGAGTATCCCCAGCTGTTTGGTGCTCCCCCCAGTGTGTTTACAGATGTGCACATGTGCTTATATGTGCACTCATGGGTGTGCATACCTAACAGGCCCAGGGTCCATCTTGTCTCCCTTCACCCCCACAATAGAGTAGCCCTGGAATCTGACCTGGTTCTTGCCCTTCCTGAAGAGTTGGGCAAGCAGAATAGGGAGACCTCTGGGGTCATTTGGGGGTCCTCAGACCCCACAAAGTGCAGTAACTGGAAGACTGGGTGGCACTGCACTATCATTCTCAGAGGGCATGAAGGTGAGCTGGGGTCCAATGTCCAGATTCCCCCAAATTCCCGGAGCAAGAAGTAACTTGGGGAATAGAACTGGGGACTTCATGCTCCTAAAGTGCACAAAGGTAACTTGGAAGGCTGGCTGAAGTTCTCCCTTTATCCTCAAAGGGTAGGAATAAGACCTGGAGGTGGGTTTGGGGGCCTCCCCTTAAACTCAGAAATTTAGGGACTTGACCTGGGCCTGGGTGGGGGGTCGTCATCACCCCCAGAGAGTAGGAAGATGGCCACTCTGGGGTGATGTGGGACTGGGTCCCACATCTCACAGCTTATTGATCCCCCCTGGCTGCAGAGGTCAGTCAACTCAGGGGAAGGGGCCCGTCGGAGTTGGCCTGAGGCAACTTCGCCCTGGGCTGGGGGAAGGGAGGCCCTGGCTGCCCTGGGCGTGAGGAGGGGCCCGGCTCTGAGCCGAGGGTCCCTTCCCCCTCTCCTCCCCCAGCATCAAGTGCCACATCTCCTCCTGACTCAGACAATTAGATTCAAAGGATGACCTCACTGCCTGCCGTCCCTCACTCGCTCCCTCTGCTAGCTCGCCTTGCTCGCTCGCTCGCTCGCTCGCTCGAGGCGCGCTCCTTCCTCCCCTCCTCCCGGCCCGCTCGCCGCCTCGCTGGCTTGCTCACAGCTCAGCCCGGCCCCTAGCCGGCCCGGACTCCCGGTGTTGTTCTGGGGGTTTCCTAACTCCCCCCACCCCGGGCCGCCCCGGGCCTCTTGGGCCCCAGCCCCAGCCCCGGGGGCCCGATGCCCGCGGGCTGCCGGGCGGACCCACGGAGCGCCGGAGGCACCGACGGGGCGCCAGCGCGGGGACCCAGGTTAGTGGCGGCGCGGCCGCGGGGCCGGAGAACTTGTCACCCCCACCGCCGCCGCTAAGACGCCCGCGCCCGCCCGCCAGCCCGCCAGCCCGCCAGCCCGCCTCGGAGCTTCCCGCTCCTTTCTCGGCCCCCGCCCCCCGCGGCTGCTCTGCGCGCTCCCCCTGCCAAGCTGTCTCTTCTCTTTCTTCCCCCCCCCCCCCCAGCCCCCCTGCCTCTGCAGCCGGTGGGAGGGACTGGGACTTCCTGAGGTCCCAGGGATGGGGCCGGGGCCCATTGGCTGCAGTCGGCCCAGGCCTCTGAGAGAGGAGGGGGCTCTGGCAGTGTCCATTGGCCTGGGGGAGGGGACCACCACCTGGGTGGGAAGGGGGCTACCGAGAGAGAGGCCCAGGGTGTGGGGGTGACATCTACACAGAGGGGGATGAGCTCTTGATATCTTTCTTTTCTCACATCCTGTGGGCCTCTTGCCTAGCTTCATTTGTCCTCACCTCCAAGCAAACTTTAGTCCCCACTGCCTAGTTTCATTTGGTCCCCACAGCCTGTGTTCTTTTGGGGCTGTCACCTGGTTTCCCTAGACACTGCTTCCTGATTTCTTTTGTTGGCACTGTCTGCTCTCCTTAAGTCCCTATCACCTGGCTTTATGGGATTGCCCTACCTGGTTTCCTTACGTCCTGTCCGGCCTGCCCGGCCTGCCCGGCCTGCCGTCTGGTGTTTGCTCCCCTGCATGGCTTCCTTGGAGCCTGTCATACTCCCTTTAGGATAGAGCATCAGGGCCCAAACGACACCTGGAGCGGTAAGCGGTAAGGATGTCAACAGCATTGCCAGTTGTTCCAGGGTTGGGGCCTGGCCAGCACAGCTTGGATTCCATTCTGCCTGGACAGCGACGCAGCTTCCTTTCTTGTGATGGGGGGCAGGGCTACAGGGTCCAAGGACACTTTAGGATTCTTGTCCTCAGTGGTTAGTTAGAGGAGCACAGCCTTGTCCAATGCTGTCCCCATCTCTCTTTGGGCCTGACAGTGATGACAGGGCCTTGGCAGGGGCTGGGGGGTGAGGTCTGGGCCATATCTCCTCCTTACCTTGCCTCTTGCAGCCAGGTCTGACAGGCAGGTACACTATAGATAGTTGTGGGCACAGAGAGGATTTGAAGAGGTTCGGGATCACACAGCAGGTGGCTAGGTTGAGAGCTGCTGCTGATTCTCATCCTGGAGAAGAGGGGCTGCTGAGGGGAGGCAGGAGGGGCCCTGGGGAGTGGGCTGGTTTCTGGGCTTCTCTGGCTCCTGCTACTACCAGTGCCACCCCTTCACCCAGGGGCTTCCTCACCCCACCCACCCTGTCTGGCTGGGTCTGTGCTTATTCCCAAATGCTGGGAAAGCAGGGTCAGGGGAGGAAGGAGCCATCTGGGAAATTATCATATTTCCTTGCTTTTTAGGGACCAACAAATTTCCTCCTTCCCTTTTCCTTCCTTCCTTAGGCCACCCTGAGCTTTAGCCTCCACCCCCCCAAGTGCAGCCAGGGCAATCCGAGGTCCTAGCATGGAATGACTGTTGTGAGTGTGTATCTTTGTATTTCCTACTGCTGGATGTGGGAGCATGAGAGGCTGAGGGTGACTGGGGGACTCTGGGTTTCTGAAGGTGCAGTGGTATCTATGTGGAAGATAGACTGCTCCGAGTGTGGGATGGCATCCATATGTGAGACCGTGACCGTTTCGAGCGAGCGCGTGTGAGAGTCTGTGTGTATGACTGTAATACGTGTGTGCATGCACAGCGTGTGCGAAGCTGTGGCAGTGGGTGTCCACGTGGGAGGCCGAGATGTGTGGTCACGGTGGTGAACTCTGAGTGCCAGTGTCTGTGAGGCGGCCTGGGTGTGTCTGCGAAGCTCTGGCCGTGTGTATGGAGAGGTAGGGTGGGCTTTGGGGAGCTCTGCCAGCAGTAGCGAGAGTCCAAGTGTGGGCTACATCTCGGGGAGAAGTGAGCCCCGGGTGCCGTGTGACCCTGAATTGCTGGTGTGTGTGTGAGCATGTGTG